CATCTCACCTCTCCCCCCACCCCAAGATGGAATGCATTCTGAATACCCCTTCCCCTAATCTGCCTTCCCTTCTATATTTCCCTCCCTTCTCTTATCCCCTTCCCCTTCTATTTTCCTGTAGGGCAAGATAGACTTCTGTACCCCATTTCTTGTATTTCTTATTTCCCAGTTGTATGAGAAAACACTTTTTTAAACATGTGTTTTTAAAACTTTGGGTTCCAAATTTTCTCCCTTCTTCCCTCCCCACCCACCCTCATTGAAAAGGCAAGCAGCTCAATATAGGTTACACATGTGCAGTTATGAGAAACACTTCCATAGTAGACATGCTGTGAAAAACTAACTCTATTTCCCTTAATCCTATCCCGGCCCCCCTGCCCCATTTATTCTATTCTATTCTTTTTATCCTGTCTCTCCTCAGAAGTATTTGCTTCTGATTACCCACTTTCCCAGGCTGCCCTCGTCTCTATCATCCCCCTATTCTCTTGTCCCCTTCCCCCCTTATTTTCCTGTAGGGTAAGACAGATTTCCATACCCCATTGAGTGTGCACGTTATTCCCTCCTTAAATCAAATCCTATGAGAATAAGATTCACTCCTTCCCTCTCACCTTCCCCTGTTTCCCCTTCACTGCAAGAGCCTTTTCTTTTCTGTTTTTTTTGTGAGATAATTTACCCCGTTCTACCAGTTCCTTTCTCCTTCTGCTAGTATAATCCTCTCTCACCCCTTAATTTTATTCTCCAGATATGATCACTTCATCTTCAACTCACCCTGTGCCCTCTATCTATCTATCTACACATATATATCTATATATACATATATATAATTTTTTTCCCTCCAACTACCCTAATACTGACAAAGGTCTCATGAGTTAATCTTTCCATGCAGGTATGTAAACAGTTCAACCTTAATAAGTCTCTTAAAATTTCTTTCCTGTTTACCTCTTCATGTTCCACTTGAGTCTTGTATTTGAAAGGCAAATTTTCTATTCAGCTCTGGTCTTTTCATCAAGAATGCTTGAAAGTCCTCTACTTCACTGAATAACTACTTTTTCCCCTGAAGGATTATGCTGGGTAGGTGATTCTTGGTTGTAATCCTATCTCCTTTGCCCTCCAGAATATTATATTCCATGCCCTGTGGTCCCTTCACGTAGAAGCTGTTAAATCTTGTGTTATCCCGATTGTGTTTCCACAATACTTGAATTGTTTCTTTATGGCTGCTTGTAATATTTTCTCCTTGACCTGGGAACTCTGGAATTTGGCTACAATATTCCTAGGAGTTTTCCTTTGGGGATCTCTTTCAGGAGGAGATCAGTGGATTCTTTCAATTTTTATTTTGCCCTCTGGTTCTAAAATATCAGGGCAGTTTTCCTTGATAATTTCTTGAAAGATGATGTCTAGGCTCTTTTTTTGATCATGGCTTTCAGATAGTCCAATAATTTTTAAATTCTCTCTCCTGGATCTATTTTCCAGGTCAGTTGTTTTTTCAATGAGATATTTCACATTGTTTTCTAATTTTTCATTCTTTTGGATTTGTTTTACAGTGTCCTGATTTCTCATAAAGTCATTAGCTTCCAATTGCTCTATTCTAATTTTTAAGGAAGTATTTTCTTCAGCGAGCTTTTGGACTTCCTTTTCTATTTGGCCAGTTTTGCTTTTTAGGGCATTCTCCTCATTGGCTTTTTGGACCTCTTTAGCCATTTGGGTTAGGCTATTTTTTAAGGTGTTATTTTCTTAAGTATTTTTTTGGGTCTCCTTTAGCAAGCTGTTGACTTGTTTTTCATGATTTTCTTGCATCGCTCTCATTTCTCTTCCCAGTTTTTCCTCTACTTCTCTTACTTGCTGTTCAAAATCCTTTTTGAGCTCTTCCAAGGCCTGGGATTGATTCATATTTTTCTTGGAGGCTTTGGATGTAGGAGCTTTGACTTTGTTGTCTTCTTCTGGTCGTATATTTTGATCCTCTTTGTCACCAAAGTAAGATAATATAGTCTGACTCTTTTTGTGACGTTTGCTCATGATCCCAGCCAATTACTTGAGTCTGCTTCCAATGTGAAAAGTGTACTGTCTCAAGCTTCGGGGGTTTGTACAGCTGTTTTCAGAGATACTTATAGGGACCTGAAAATTTTCACTTCTTCCAAGGTGCTATGATAAGGAGCAAGGTGTTTCCTCTCCACCCCCACAAAAGCTCCACCACGCCAGCACTCCTCCTCACCCCAGGACCACCCCTCAGAACTGTGACCCAGATCCAGACACAGGCAGAGCAAGAGATTCCTGCTTCAGTACTGGCAAAGAGATCCCTACAATTCCCCTCTGATAAGCCACTCAATTCCCCCTCAGTCTGATAAGCCATCCCAGGGCTGCGCTCAGGACTTGCAGCTGAGACCTAGCTCCTCTCTCACAGCAGTCACAGACTTTACCTACTGACCTTCCAAGTTGTCTTTGGCGTTCATGGATTGAGAAGTCTGGAAACCACCACAGCTGCCCGCAATTCAGTCCTCTGAGGCCTGCTCCAGGTTCGCTGTGGCCTGCGCGCCCACGTCAAACTGAGCTCCTCTCCCAGCCTGGCGCAATATACCTTTCTGATCAAACATCCAGGTTGTCTTGGGCTAGAAATTTGTTTCACTCTGTCTTTTTGTGGGTTCTGCTGCTTTAGAATTTGTTTAGAGCCATTTTTTGTAGGTATTTGGAGGATTTTGGGGGAGAGCTCAAGCAAGTCACTGCTTTCACTCCACCCCTCAAGACATTCTTACAAACATTACTTTATTTGATTCTTACATATATTTCTCTGCCACACCCTTTCAACTTGAGGACTAATATACTCTTAGATAAATGAGGCCAGCTTCCATGAAATGTTTAAATTTCTAATCAGTTTTATTCTATCACTCATTGCCTAGGGGATTTTAGTGCATGAGATTTGTCTTTTTTTTTTATCTTTTTTTGGTGGTATAGGAAACTTTTTGTAAGGAAACCCTCACTATCAGTGCAGATCCCCAACCTACAGTGTAGAAACTTGCCTGAACACCAAGAGGTTAAGTGACTTACCCAGGGTCACTCAGCCAATTTCTGTTAGAGGCAGGACTTGAACCTAGATTTTCCTAACTCCAAAGTCAACACTCAATCCACTATGCCATGTCAGCGCATAAGAGAAATAGTTCTCTTGAAAGGAGAAGACAAATGTCAGTTCAAAGAGAATAGCTACTAAGTTATGAAGTAACTGAGAAAGAAGGGAGAAAGACCTATCAGAATTATCAAGTAGTTTAATGTATTTTTTTTTATTTTACTTGACTCAGAGTCAAATCTAGATAGCATCATCTAGGAATATTTAGAGATTGCCTTTATGCTCAGTATTGGTATTACAGACTATTGTTGTATGTATCAGTCTTTACCAGCGAGCAATAGTAGTAAGATACCAGATGTCAGGGAACATGATGCTATAGATTTCTGGAACCTGAACTCCATCCAGATGCAGGCCCTGCTTTGCAGTTCTTTCATTTTGCCATCAAAGTGTTTTGTTTTTCCTAAACCCTTCAATGGTCCTCAAAACAGTGCATTACCTTTGGCCAGCTACTCTAAATCTATTTTTCTGTCCACAAAAGAATACAGACATTGCTTTATGATTACAGCTATAGGAATGTTCTCTACCTTAGCGTCTTCTGTCAGAGATGAGAAACTAGAGGATATACAACAGCTAAAGTGACTAAGTGTCTGACTCACCCTTGGCACAAAAACCTACGCTCCTGTTATGTCATCTAAGTGACATCCTGTTCAGTTTCTAAATGGTCAGTGTATCATCTAAAGGACTTTGAGCACTCCTGTACCAATAAAAATCACAGGATCATGAAGAAGGTCACAGATTCTGACTTGGATAGGACCTAAAGGGTTCAATCTAGTTCAGGATCTGTATTTTGCAGATGAAGTAACTGAGGTCAGGAGAAGTGATTTGTCTAATCATTGGTATTAAGTGTCAAAGACAGGATTTGAACTCAGGTTCTCTGACCTGAAGTGCAGTAATCTTTCTGCTGGATCCTAGTTTGGCAAGCAAAATCTTGGTGCAAACTCTATTTCTCAAATCAGTTCTCTGGGTAGCTAATCCTGAAACTGCTGAACCTCATTCAGAGAGCTCAGAGAGCCCCAAAGGATCAGATAAAGAATGGATTATTTTATTCTTTGTATTTATATCCCCACTGCCTGGCATACTGTAGTAAATCCTTAACAAATGCTTGTTGACTGACTGACCAACTGATTGAAATAAGATTAAAAAACAAAGTTGCTTATATCAAAATATGTATCATCCATAGGTAAATGTCTGGGGTTCCCAGATTCACAGACAGATCACACAAAGCATAACCACATCTAGCATACATAGAGATGATGGGGTTGGGATCTGGACCCCAGAAAGGAAAAACCCTGGACTTTCCCAGGTGGCCAAATCTCTGGCATTTGCCTGAGGCTATAATCCCATCAACTGGCCTTTCATTGTGGATCCTTAACCTAGCCTAGTCCTCCACTGTCTTACCTCCCTATGGCCCCTGGCCATTTCCTGCCCTTAATCCTAGCTAGGATTGATCCATTCTTCCTTGGCCACATGGTCCAGGTCTCAGGAGTTCTGTTCACCCCAGCTTACTGGCCACTCCCATCCAGATCTCCTTAGACCCCTCCTCCAGTCACCCCAAACTACTTGGTCACTCCTAGATCCCTCTCACAGTCTTTCTGTATATAAGGTCCATCTTGTCTCCATTAAAATGCTGGGATTCTTATAATCCAGCCACTGCTCAGATTCTTATAATGTAGCCAATAGCTTACTAATGTTTAGACTCCTTAACAGTCTGCCCAATATGATGGATGTTCTAATAAACCTTGTCTTTGGCTGAAAGAAGGGTTGGGTCGAATTCTTACGGGCAGGACCCGTGTATTGTGATTTTGGGGTCCCAGGACCCCTGAACCCCTAAACCGCATCAGAGACACACATGCAAACACATACCCCCATCAATTGAATGACTGCCTACCTTGAACAAACACCAGTAAAAAAGACTCTTCACCAATTTTGTAAGCCAAAACACATGCTTGTAGAGGTCAGTGTTCACCACTCCAGGGTCTACTACGTTGGCAGTCACATGACTCCCTTCAGCTGCCAGAAGCTGTTGTAATTGATAGGAAAAAAGTACCAGGGCAAGCTTGCTTTGGGCATAGGCTCCACAAGGTGAGTAACAATGCCTGTAAATGAAAAGACAGAGGCTGTCATGAGGAAAATCAAAAGGTCAGATCATCAGTCACCTGATTACTTCACTAAAATGCACAGAAAATGAACCACATACTAAATGGATTGCTCATCACAGTTAACAAGATATTTATTTTCATGAGGTAGTTGTATGGGACAAACTTTGTTTTCTGATTAAATTGAAAGTGAACTTGTAATAACATGTAGTTGTGCATATACATACAGCTATATAGCACTTTAAGGTTGGTTTACAAAGCATTTTACAAATATTAAATAATTTTATCCTCTCAATAACCTTGGAAGGTAGGTGTTACTATCACCTCCATTTTAGAGATAAGAAAACTGAAGCAAGCAGAAGATAAATAACTTGCCTGGGGTCACATAGTTTATGTGTCTGAGGAAGGATTTGAACTCAGATCTTACTGACTCCAGCCCAAAGCTATTACCACTCACCTCAAAAGCTACCAGGTCCAATTCATACATAAAGAAAGAATGGGTATCCTGCAGACGCCAGGGCAAGAGCTGCAGGACCTAGAGGGCCACATGTGGCCTGGAGGCCTCAGGTTCCCCACCCCTGCATAACATTGAAACCCCTTGGCTAGAAGACTCCCTAACCTCCAGAAGCAATCCATTTTGTTGTAGATAACTCTAATTGTTAAGAAGATTTTCCTGAGATAAAGACTTAACTTGCCTCTTTGCAACTTTTACTCATTGTGACTTGGACAAGTACAAAGCATCTAACCCCTCTTCTGGGTGGTAGCTCTTCAAATACTTAAAGGCAGCTAAAATCCCCACACCACACCACCACCCCCACCCTACCCCTGCACTTTCCCCGTATCTGAGCAAAACTGCCCCAATTTCTTTGACCAATCTTCATGTTCAAGCTGTTATCCATTCTGTATAGCTTCTCATATGAGTACAAGCCCAGTGGGGTGGGGAGAGGGAGAATCTTGGAAAGGAGGAAGGCAAAAAAGAGCCTTTATTAATGAAACTAAAGCCAATCACCTTATAAACACAACATTTCTAGGAATAAAAGAAGCTGTTATTTGGGAAGCTAAATAAATTATCAAAGAATTTTACCAAGACTTCTGACCTGGTTGGCACCAATACACAGGCTGATTCACTAGAAAGATTACCATTATGTACTTGAAAGGAAGATGACACATGTCTTCACATAAGTGAGAAGATGAGAGGTTAAGTACAAGTCAATTTTTTGTTAACTGTGGATTGTCTTTGTTAAGACCCAACCATAAGAGGAATGTCTCTCTGCAACCACTGCAGAATTAAGGAGTCCTTGTGTTAGATATGCTATCATTTATCCCCTATCATTTAGATACCCTATTATTTACTTAATAAGAAACCTATATATAAATGTTCCCATTGACTTTTTTCCTGTGTCAGAAAACTTTCTTAGAATTGTTTCATCTCTTATTCCATTTTAATATCTGGTTTGGGATATTTTAGGTGATAGACTAAATCACCCTTATAAAGGAACACAAGGCTTGTGGCAAATATTCTCTTTGTGAAAACATATATCCCCATTTTAGAAATTTAGCTTTTAGGAACTCCTACTGCATATTTTGACAACCACTGAAAATAAGAAAAGCCTTCTTTTTCTATCAGATGTAATGAGGAAGGAAAACATTTAAACATTCAGAATTTTTCTAGCTCATTTTCTGTATTTGAGTCTCAAATCAATCACTGTCTTTTTATTCCTCAGTTAGAAAGTGTCTTTTTTTTTTTTTTTTAAATATATATACAACAGTGATTGGTAGATCCCCTCACCTCCCGGCCCAGTTCTTCCATCTGTTTCTCAGTTCTCTGGCTGAGTTCTGTTACATCCCAGAATGTAGCTGATGTCCCAGCTATGATAAGTTTCTGCCTTTTGGTTTTCCATGGCACTGAGGGGTTACAGTTGAGTTCTGCTGCAAACCCAAGTGTTGACATGTGCAGCCCTGGGCAGGTCTGATAGGTGATAGAGGAGGCAGCTGAGTGAACACATTAGGGGTTAGGGATCAGCCTTCTCTGCTGTTAGTTCATCTTGTTATTACCTTGTTAGGGTTCTTGGTATCTAAGACCTTGTAGGCAGCTGAGATCTCCCATGCACACTTTCTATTTTAGAGAGATCTGAGAGATTGTTAGGTCAGAGTAAATGTGCAGTCCTCCATCATATTGGTCATGTAACCCAGCAGCATCATAAGCACTTATTTTGTAACCTGTCACTATTATTTACACTCTGAATGATTGGATCCAATGCACCTCATACTTTGTGGGTGGTTTCACTCTTCACTGTTTGTGTATATAGAAGCAGCTACATGTTTTTGTTTTTGCAGAGAAAATCAGCAAATTCATGAATTAGGGTTAAGTTCTATTTACAGTTCTATTGTAAAGGATAATAATTTAACACAGATTCTATGTTTAATGACAGGTGTCAACATGAACAAACATTGAATAAGACTTGAGAAATTTGAATACTAGTCACTACTGGCTTCAATAATGACACAGCAGTGTAAAGAGTATCCTAACCTTTGAATTTATTATTTTTTCTTCCTGACTTCAGACTCTGAATATTCCCTATTGGCCTACATTTGGTCTTTATCCGTGATATAGATCTACATATGAAAACACAAAAACAGTCTCTTTCTGGCTTCTAATTTGCTTTCTATAAAAAATAAAATTGTATGCTGCTTTGTTGTTCATCCTTTGTTTTCGAGAAAACCAATGACATCATGAGGTAATGTCTTAACTTCTGTGTGAACTGGATTTAAGTGAGGCAGAGTTGCATAGAATGGGCAGAGGAGAACAATACTAAGTGAAGAGAGAAAAGGGAAATATCAGAACTTTTACCATCATGCTTATATAAATATACATATTCATAATCCCAATGTAACAAACTCCATAGGATATCCAAATTATTTTCCTGTAGTGGCATTTTTATATCAAATACTGGCTAGAAATAAAATTTCTACTGTATAGGATACAAGTATGAAACAGTTGATGTCTTAACCTCCCTACAGTGAATTAATTAATAAGGCAACAGTTCTTTGATTCTTTCTAATTTGGGGATTTGTTTTTGTACTGTTGACTCATTTTGGTGATTTTTTCCCCCTCCTTATATCAGATGGTTAGGAAAGTTAAGGTAGTGAAGAATTAGGAGAGTTAAAAGAATACTTATTATTTGAAATTATAATGGAAAGGAAAAAAAAAATCTGGAGTTCAACTACAGCTCAGGTTAATTCATATCTTATTCTTTCTTGGCACAGAACAAAATAATATTGCCTCTTTATGGTTTAATTGCTCTTTACAGTTTTCAAAGCTATTGCAACAGCCTTATCTTATTTAATCCTCACAATAACCTTGTAAGATAGCGAGGAAATCTGTATTATCCCCATTTTTTAAGCAAAGAAACTGAGGCTCAGAGAAATTAGCTGACTTGCCCATAATCACATAACTAACGTGGGCTTCTGACTCTTAGTCCAATGACCTTTTCATTATGTAATGCCTCACTCCTGAATTTATTAGAAACAAAGATTAGAGAAAACATCTGTTATCCAAGATTATTTTATTGTATACAAAATCAACAAAGCACTATTGCTATAGAACACACATCAGGTCACAATGTTAACTGGTTTATTCTCAGTAATGGTTTTAACTATGAGGCTTTATTTAGACATATCTATCTCTCTTTATATAATATACAAACATACACACAGATGCATAAACATCATATTTATATATGTTGGCTAAAAAAATGTGACTTTAAATGCTGTTCCTCTAAGTCATCAGTTAGTTCAATTGTCAGATTTTCTTTTTTTTTAAAACCAAGGTAATATTTTTTTGAAAATTGGCAATGTTAGGTCAATAAGTATTTATTAAGGACCTACTATATGTCAGGCATTGTTATAATCATTAGAGATTCAAAGAAAGACAAAAATAGTCCCTTATCCTCAATAAGGCACTTAAATTTGAGGAAACTTAGACAAAAAGACTCATCAGATATCTAACTCATTCCTTTTTTCCTACTGACATATAGCAGTGGACAACTACCAGAAGGCACCTGTGGCATAATACTGATCATCTCTTGATTTCTTATTATCTTTAAGAAGTGGCTTAGTTTTCAATTTAGTTTGAATGAAGTCAAAGTTAGAGTTTTATTAGTTATTAAATCAACTTTAATTGCATTGTGTATAGTCCAAACACAAATATGTCTCTTTTCATCACCATGTTACAGATCCAATATACCTTCCATTATTTTAGGCTTATAGAAAATTTAATTTAACACCCTTCACAACTGATGTCCTCTTTCTAGTCCCATAATTGCTTCATTCATCTATATTACTTTATGTTGGGTAAAAGTTGAAGTCTATGCAAGGTTATAAACAGAAAGTTAAGAAAGATGTCCAAAAGACAACATGAATTATATCACAAGGAGTTACAAACTTTTATGATATCTTTCATTACCTAGTATTAGTTTTATGTATATATAGGTAGGCATATATTAATAATGATATGTTAGTATAGCACTCACAGTGTATAAGAAAGGATCCCACTTTAAAACCTGCATATAACTATATTTCAATTCATATACAGAGAGATGTAAATAAATTTTAAAATTTACCATTCCCCTGGTGATCAGATTGATTCACCTAAAAAGGCACAATGGAAGTTAAATCAATTAAAGCATATTTTTTGCTAGTTGCTTTTCATAATTACTTGTTAAGTAAGCTTTCACTCTAATGGGTCAGATAGTAGCTCAACAGATATGGTACTGGGCCTGGAATCAGGAAGACTTGAGTTCAAATCCAGCTTCAAAAACTTAATAGCTCTGAAACTCTAGGCAAGATACCTGATATTATCTATCTGTTTCAGTTTCCTAAACTGTAAAATGGGAATAATAATAACATCTATCTCCCAAGGTCATTGTATGGTTCAAATAAGAAAATATTTGTAAAGCACTTAGTATAGTGGCTGGCACCCAGTGGTGCTATATGAATGA